TTATTTTGTTGTTCTTAGAATGTAGTCAGCTCACACTTAAATAAGTTTGGTACTGCAAACAGATAAGGTGGACATTGCGGTGTGCTTTGGTTTAAATTATTTTAAGTCCTTCGTGTATGTGTGCCAGAGACAGGGTATGTTGGGTACATGCCTCCTTGTGATAGCGCGGATCTGATGCCGATTGTATAGTGCTATCTCACTGAAATACCATGCCGAAGGCACCAAGCACAGTATTCCGCCCTGTCACATTATACTGACAATGGGTGAACCAGTTGACATTACCCATATTGTTGAACGCTAAGCCTGTCCCCAAGTAGAAGGTGCAAAATAAAATCCCCTATTTTGCAGAGGGTCCATACATTAGTCGTCTCTTACGATACATGCATAAGGTCACTGCAGGTGTATTTTTTCTCGATCCCCGACCTGCAGGGGTGCCAAATTTGGTGAGATGCCAAGCAAGGCGCTAGATAACAAAGGTTAACTCCCTTAGAAGAAGTAGAACAACAATAAAAAGAACTCGAATATTGTAAGGGGTGCAGCAGATTTCATTTTGGTTGCTTTTGTGTTCCCAAGAAGAGGACAATAAAGCAAATTCCTAAATCGGGGTTTTGCTTTTGTACCCTCTTCTTGAGGACAAAGCGACCAAAATAGATATGCTGCACCCATAGCAATATTTGGTATCTTAACATATTTAACTATTCTTCTGTGTACTTCCTAGTGTGAGTTGTGACATAGAAACTAGGTCCCTAGGTCTTTGGCCAGACCCCAGGGTCAATGCTACTATCACGATTGCATTCGTCTCTATATGCAAACCATTTGTATATTTAGTTTTGGGGTGGGGATTTCAGCTGTTTCAAAGATATCACCAAGGGACTAAGTCTCCAAGGATGAGGCCACACGCCAGGGCCATCCTGGACGCAACTGCACATTCATCTCTATCCTAAGCAACTGTATATATGGTCATTTCGTGGGGATCTCAACCGTTTCCAAGTTATAAACCATGTTTGGCCCTCTCCCTAAGCCCAGGGCGTCAGCCTGTCCATTTGTACATATGTTAATTCCAACCACCTAGGAATGCTTCCAACAAAATAAAGTTGATATCCATCGCTTAAGAAGAAGTTGTTTAAACCAATATAGCCAAATAACTTTTTTTTGGCCCCGCCCCTCAGCCCCCTC